CCCCCCCCCCCCCCCCGCGTCTGGTAGAGCGGACGTCACAAGCCTACACTGTAACCCAAGAAGTGAAAGAGACTGGGACCCGCAGCCCAACTTCGCACCGTAACAAAGGCGGGGGTCGGTGCGGGCCGGGCCGTGGGGTAGGGGGAGGGGCGGCAGCTCGAGGATCTGAGGGGGCGGCAGGAGCGGGGGCGGGAGCCGGAGCCGTAGAGGGTGTGGAGGGAGGGCGGTCGGGCTGGGCGGGGGTCTTGCGGCGGCGCTACAGGGCTGCGGGGCTGAGCGCGGCGCAGACCAGGTAATTGGTTTCTATTTTAAACTTCACTTTGTTCTGTTGGTGATTGGGGGTGGGGAGGCGTGACCCCCCCACAGGGCGGTTACATAAGTCTACGCACCTGAATAGGGCCCTGCGCCCCCGCGGGCCAGGTTTGGGGTGGGAGCGGCCGGTGGGTACTGGGCGCAGACTCTTGGGGGGGGCGCTGATGCGGACGGGGGGGGGTTTCTTGTACCCTGCGCCAGTGAAATCGATGTCTCCGTGGAGAGGAGGCGGGAGTGGACGCTGGGCTTTAGAAGCCCAGATGTGCCCGTGGACTGGGGCGGGCCTTCCAGGGTGTCCACTAACAAAGGACCGAGTGTTTGGATCTCTCGTCCACTCGCGGTGCCCACTTAACCAGCAAGTAGCAGAAGGAACTTTAGACGTGGTCCTAATTAAACATAGAGCAAAAAGGCACTTCCTGGTGAACCTCCCATTAAGTCTCTTAAGGTTGATTAAATATGATTTAAAAATTGATGTGCGTTGATTAGCGTGGAATTGGAGAGGATAGGTCCCCAACAGGATCTTTCCAGATTGTTTTAAACCACCCTATTAATATGGAATATTTTGGTTTAGGAATGTGTTACTTTAAGGAACTAGACATGCGTGCTATTTGATAGGACATTCTCCACTGCCTACTATACAAGAGCACATTTTTACCACTTGTTCCTCCTTCATTTGTCTTGGCGTTCTTTAATTCTTGCGTCAGAATGGCTGTGTTATTTTTATTTACACAGACAAGCGAAAATTAAATATACCACACACCACTATTGTGCATGAATCCGAGGGTCCCCTCCCCCTTAGTAAAATTGGAGATGGAGTTGAGCTGCCCTGGTGTCAGGGGTGTGAGTTGGGTCACTGGAGGGGACAGCTTTAGTTCCAGGAGAGTGACCCCATAGCCATCTCAAATAGGTTCTGGGATAAACGGAGCTCAGGGAAAGGCTCACAACTGAATAATCAAATTAGAATCCTGAAGTATTAAGATAAATACACCCCTTAATATTTTCTTAGTTTATTAAGACTTGTTCCTTGAATTTGCTAATTTGAATGTACTTTCAGAGAAAATTAACATTCCAAAACAAAAGCAAAAACAAAAAACATTCCCACTGGGTCTGTAATAAAGCGAGGCAGAGGAGTGGGC